AACCACCGAATGAAAGCGTTGTTGTCGGAACAGATGAAGCAGGAGGAATGTCTGACATAGACTGAATACCAAACATTGGAGGTACAAAATTAGAAACGGTATTTTTGCCAGAACCATCGAATGAAAACAATGTTTGTGACTCCGAGTATGTGTTGCTAAAACATGATACTCCTGCTGTTGTTGTTGGAGGTGGAGTAAAATCTGAGAAGTAAGGATCCATCATTGATTGTAGCATATAAGATTGTGGATGCATGAAAGAAGTATTGGTAGTGTAGCTATTACTGCTTCCAAACAAAGCTGAACTACCTGGAGGAGGTGGTGGCTGTAGTCGGTGAGGGGCAGCAAAGAACGTTGCTATTCTGCCATATTCTCTGGATTCGACAGGAGCGTTGATGCTGTCGTTATTGTAGCTAACGTTATTTCCAAATGGGGACGTATATGATGCAGGAGAAGGAGCTGGTGGTTTAAACCTGGCAGAAGAAGACATTGCTGGGAAGCCAAATCCTACAGACCCAAACGAAGTTTCGTTGCTGACGTTGCCGCTAACGGTAGTTCCAAATAGTGTGGATCCAAATAGTCCAGCGGTGGTAGTAGTAGCATCAGTACAAGCCTGATCGCCTACTGAAGCATTAAATCCTTCGAATATAGAATAAGCGTTTTTTCTACGGATGGTACTGCCTTGGGACGAAAATAGTGATGTTGGAGTAGGAGCCTTGTTTGACGGACTCATTTGAGGTACTTGTGATGCGGCCATTCCCACATTTGATAAGCAACTTGTCTGTGTGAAATCTGATGAATCTAGTTGCATCACTGCTTGTTGCTGCTTCTGTATTGGTGCGGAAAAAAGTATTGTTAAATCATCTGACATCTGTTTTTGTTGCTGTTCTTGTAGTGCACGATTAGAAGAAGTGTTTTGTTTTTTTGAAGTTTTCTCCGATGACTTGCTAGATGTCTCTGAAAATAGATTGATCACAATTTCTAAGAAATAATCGACATTGTCAAAGCATCTTCTGTAAATAATAGGAATCAAATGTTATCGACAATTATTTTATCTGAACATAGGTCTCGATTTGGGAAGAGTTAGAATCGATTCGCTCGCCTCTCCTACTATCTTCTTTATGTCTACAAAAATACTAAGCTATAGTCAGAAAGTTCTTTGCCATATTTTCAGCTCCCCCCACGTCGAGAAATTATCGAGACCCTTGTATTTCGGTACGAAAAATATCCTTTTGAAAATTTTTACCTGCTGTGAATGAATTTTCATCATCAATAACATCCATAACAAAAGCACACTTTTCATTTTGAACTTGTGCTTTTTTCCGAGTGCATTCTGGTGAAGCCAAAGATGACATCTCTTTCTTTAAACGTTCCTTCACTTTTTGAATTGTTGCTTTTTGTTTTTCAGTTTTAACTGCATGATATGTCATAGGTTTCGTCTGTTTAAAATGAGGAGGACCAGCATCAACTTCACAAGAATCCGTTTTTTCAAGTTCTTCGTCAGATGGCCGTATAAGAGCTTTTTTCTTTTTATAGGTAACATTCATTTCTAGTTTCTTTGATTGTGTATGCAACTTTGTTGGACATGCATAATCAACGAAAAGATCAAAACCGATGTCTGCATCAGTTTCATCACTCTCTGCAGTTTTTACTTGTTTCATTTTACTAAGTTCTAGCCTACATTCTTCATCTTCTCAGATAACATATAAAACATGAAAATATATAATTATGTTTTGAATAAAGTAAATTTACCTATCGAATCCGACAGCAAACATGAGGAAACGTTCTGTACTACATCTACATAAAAGTTAGATGAAAGGTCTGCGTCACTCTTCTTCTAGAATTGATTCAAACAATTATTCATTCATGATATAACGTTAACTTACAAATAGGTCATTGAAAAGCACATCTTCTCCGCCACTGTAACCGATATCATTGGCAACAGTCAGTAGATCTTGGTTATTCTTTTCCTCTTGTTGAGAAGTTGTACTTTGATGTTCGATATCTTCTCTAATAAACACATAATTCTAAAAACATGAATATCTCTACATATTCAACTTACAATACTTCAGTGTTAATACGTATATCAATTTCATCTAATCGTTTTTCTAATATTTTTCTTTCATTCGTTGTTGCATTTTTTATTTCATTAATTAAATCTATCAATATGCATTGAATACTAACTAATAATTTTAAGAAAAATTTAATATTTACCTTTCTGCATATTTTCTTCTAATTCTCGAGCTTTTTCTTTTTGTTTAAGTATCGTTCGATATGTGTCAATAATTGTTAACATTAAATCATATTTTGCTTCACCACCGAAACGATATGATATATTTTGACAAAGATTTTCATATTCATTTACTAAATCAATTTTATTTGATATTGAAGCACTATCAAATAAACGTTTTCCATTAATTAATTTATCTTTAATTATATCACTTAGTGATTGATCACCATCCCAGCCAATATATGGAAGTAAATCAATATCATTTTCAAGCATAACATCAAGTAATCGAACACCTGGCTCAAGTGCTTGTCCATCGCGTTCTTCAATAGCTACAAAACTTGTAAATGAACTTACAACAGAGTATTTCATACTAAGTTCAATTAAATCTTGTTTATATTGCTTTTTGATAAGTTCATTTTCACATTCATCATTATGTAATAAACCATTTTCATAATCTTGAATAATAGCACGAGCTGTTAAACAATGTAAAACACGTCCTCTTGCTTCAGTTATTTTATTACTAAATACCGTTGTAACATATTCTTGATTATTTATTGTTGCTGTTAATGTTGCTTTATGACAATTTTGTATAAAACGATATACAGTTAAACGCATACCATTAAATAATGATCGAATTATTTTTGGTGCTTGACTAGTAAATTTTTCTTGTTGATCATCAATTGTTCCATGCCAATCAATGGATACATTTGTTACACATGGTTGTTGAATATGTTCAAGTATTTGAAGTACTTTTGTTCTCCATCTTGAACGAAAATTTGAATCAAATACAGTTATTAAACCACCACCATTTATTCTATTAGCTAATTGTCTTAAATTATGTTTATTAGATGTATCACCAATTGAACATGTAAATAAACGATCATGACGCATTGATGATTGATTTTCTAATAATGTTAAAATAGATTGAAGATCATTGATATGTCCATCAGAAAGAAGAATAAATTGACGACCAAGCTTAGATGATGATGGCAAAAGAGCATATTGACGAAGTACAGAAAATAAATCAGTATTACCACGATGATCAAGTGAATGCTATAACAGATATAAATTTAAATACATACTATGTAAAACAAAACAAAATAATACAAACCAAAACAAAATGCTTAGCTTTATCAATATTTTCTTTTGTATTTTGTGATGCAATAGGAAAACATTCATCATTATCTAAAATAAATAAATTAATGAAAAGTAAAAAATAAAACTATTTTTTCTTGATTTACCTGATCCGAAGGTAACAATATTAAAAGCAATATTTTTATCATCAGTTTTCATGTTCGTCAAAAATAAGTGTGCTAATTGTTTTGCTTGTTGTACATGCTTTCCATCCATAGAATTTGATACATCAATAATAAAAACAATTTCCACATATTCATTTGAATTAATCATCATTTCAAATTTTGGATAAAATGTTAACATACATGCTTGAGAATTTTCATCAATCGATTGATTATTAGTATTTGTATCTGATGACACATATGTTTCATTTAGCATGCGTGGTAAATTAACACTTTTTAATGTAATCGAAAGAATAAAATCTTTTTCAAGTAAAATATTATCAACAAATTCAAGCATAGCAAGACAGTCAGTTATTTTGCGACGAAGTCGATGTGTTGGTGAAAATAATTTTATTATTTCATATGGCATACGTATTGATGCTTTAAGACTAAATTCTACTGATTTCATTGAAGAATTATCCTGTTCAAGATTAATTGATGGAAGTATTGTTTGATCTTTCATTTCTAAAGCTTGTTTTGATTGCCATGAAGCTACTTTAGCTGGTAAACGAAATATAATATCATTATTTTCAATAGATAATTCAGCAACATATGTAATTTTAATAATCACTTCACAATTAGCTGGTAAATTACCAACAGATACACTAAAGACTTCAGGCTGTTCTTGATGCATTAAATATGCACCATGACCTTTTTCAATAGCTTCACGATATTCACGTTTAGCTTGTTCTTTTTCTTTAACAACACCTTTAATTATTTTATTATTAATATGAGCTTCAAACCCACAAACAGAAGAATTTTCATCAAGAGGAAATACATATTTTGCTTCAATTGGTACTGAACTTGAATTATGATAAACTTGATAAAGAACAACCTAAAATAATTTATAAAGGATGTTTGCTCTTTTTACAGGAAAGAAAATGATGTAATTTACTTCAGCAGTAATATCAACAAGTTGAGCACGAATATGAAAAGCTTTAAGTGGAACAAGTTCACCTGACGATGGACAAATTAAACCATAGTCTTGTTCTGCTACTTGAATTACTTCATCTTCGATTGTTGAAGGAATATCCACTGAAACAAATATATACATGGATGAGGATTGCTTTATCAACTAAAATACTAACGAAGGGACGTGTCTAAAGGTCAAATCGTTGTAGTATTGGAACTATGTACATCATGTAGGTTCTGATGAATTATGAATATGTTGAAAAGAGTTTAGTCTAATAGCTAATTATTGCCAAGATTCTGTGTTTTTTTAGCAGAACTTCCTGATTCCTCCTTAGAAACATCAGGAAAACTGAGTTTTGAATTACGACTTGAAACTTTGCATAGAGATAAACCCTAATGAGAATAGTTTATTGTAAAAATGTTTAGATCTTCTGAGTATCTCTATCCTAAGATATGACTATGGTGAAAGCATATTTTTCACGCCACTCATACATAACTACAAATTTTGATGGCCTAGTTTCGAAATAGGTGCAATCGAAAAATTGAAAACTTTCACAATAAGCTATTCTCATCAGAGGCTGTCTCTCTCTGTAAAAAGTTTCAAGTCGAAATTTGAAACTTAGTTTTTCTCGTGTTCTTGTTTGAATCGTTTTTTTTCTGTAATATCTTAGTATTTTAAAATTTCAGAGTTTAATTCCTTGTAAATATACGCTTGATTATTAAGTTCGTTTTTTAATGTGAAGAAAATAAAGTCTATATAAGATTAGTGAAATTCTTTTCATGATTCTGAAGCATAAAAATATCTCCTCTCTCCTATATTGCTAAAGATTGCTCAATCGGAAATATACAGATGGTTAATGAATCACAGCGATATTGGCTAGAACTAGATCTTTGAACATTGTAATTAACCTTGATCCATCTATCAAAGAGTCACTGCACGAGAATCATGACCGAATCTATTCAATTGAAGGTTCCAAACTTATGTTTGCATCTTCATACAGACCTAACTATATAAGTTTAGAGAAAAATATGTAAGCGACTTCCATCCGACTGATAGAAAGAAAAGCTATGTACATGATGAAGTGTTTTAAACATGTTCTATACGTCGTTCAAATAGATCTTTATCAGATCAGTATGTTAAAATTTTTCGAAAACTTTTTCTTCAAAGACCAATCACTAAAATTTATTTGGATACCTAAGCAAACGTTTGTAATCTTTATTAAAATCGAATCATTTCTAAATCTCACCTCATAAGGCATGTTAACTGGTTAGAGAGAAGTTTATTTGATTACTGGAATTTATTTAAATCGCCGAATTTATCTCAACTTATTCTATTGATAGTATATAATACATTTTTATTATACCAAATAAAAACCATAGTTCTGAAGAGTTAACTTTTACTTTCAGCTGATCCCTAGCTTTATATGTCGTCCTTGTTCTCACCTTCAGTTAGATATCTGCCCTTAGTCTAGTTTGTTTCGTTCTATGGTCACATAAAGAACGAAATTTATAGAAAAATCTCAACAATTCTCAAAAACAAATTTGAAAGCTGTCGATACGAGGACGATAAAACGTTCATCCAACGATTAATATATTACGATTAAACTTTATTGAAGAAAACTGACACGAAATTAAGACGAAATATGAATGCTTCTATCTATTTTGAATTATTTGTTATTTAGTTGGAAAAACCTGATTACTTTTATCTGACAATGATTTTGATTGATTTGTTAAATAATCACGAATAATAGGTAATAATTTTGTTGACTGATCTATATTATCATATGGTTTCCATGAAAGTTCAACAATATAGAGTAACCGTTGTTGATCAAGATTATAAATAGCATATTCATTATCCTACATAAACATCATGATGAAAACCTGATTGAAAAAATTACTTCTTTCTTACAAGAAACTTTGAATTATTTTCATCATCTTTTTTGACTCCATGTGTACTATGAAAATTTTCAGGTGGTTGAGTTAAATTTGGTGCATATGAATAGAATTTTGCTGAATCTCCTAATGCTACTTGAGATATACATAATAATCGTCGTCCAGGACGTGTTATACTTGGTGTTGTATATTTTAATGATGTTGAAACTGAATCAGAAAAATAAAGTCCATATCCCAAACATCCAATATCAGTTCGTGTAACTCCTAAATCATTAACAACTACTTTTGGCATAAGAAGACCACTAAAAAAGAAAACCAAAAAAAAAACTTA